CTAAGAGGAAAGTACATAGCAATCCAGGCCTATTTAAAGAAGAGAGAACAATCCCAAATGAATAGTCTAAACTCACAATTATTGAAACTGGAAAAAGAAGAACAAATGAGGCCCAAAGTCAGAAGAAGGAGGGATATACTAAAGATCAGAGAAGAAATAAATAAAATTGAGAAGAATAAAACAATAGAAAAAATTAATGAAACCAAGAGCAGACTCTTTGAGAAAATAAACAAAATGGATAAACCCCAAGCCAGACTTACTGAGAAAAAGAGAATCTACACACATAAACAGAATCAGAAATGAGAAAGGAAAAAATCACAATGGACCCCACAGAAATACAAATAATTATTCGAGAATACTATCAGAATCTATATGCTAACAAACGGCAAAACCTAGTAGAAATGGACAACTTCCTGGGAAAATACAACCTTCCAAGACAGACTCAGGAAGAAACAGAAAATCTAAACAGACCAATTACCAGCAATGAAATTGAATCGGTAATCAAGAAACTATCCAAGAACAAAACCCCTGTGGCTTGATGGATTCACCAATGAATTTTACCAGACATTTAGAGAAGACATAATACCCATTCTCCTTAGAGTTTTCCAAAAAATAGAAGAGGAAGGAATACTTCCAAACTCATTATATGAAGCCATCACTCTAATACCAAAACCAGCAAAGACACCACAAAAAAAGAAAGCTTCAGACCAATATCTCTGATGAGCATAGATTCAAAAATACTCAACAAAATATTAGCAAACTGAATTCAAAAATACATCAAGACTATCATACACCATGATCACGTGAGATTCATCCCAGGGATGCAAGGATAGTACAACATTCAAAAATCCATCAGCATCATCCACCCACATCAACAAAAAGGACAAAAACCACATGATCATCTCCATAGATGCTGAAAAAGCATTCTATAAAATTCAACATCCATTCATGATAAAAACTCTCAACAAAATGGGTATGGAGGGCAAGTACCTCAACATAATAAAGGCCATATATGATAAACCCACAGCCAACATCATACTTAACAGCAAGAAGCTGAAAGCTTTTCTCCTAAGATTGGGAACAAAAGAAGGATACACACTCTCCCCACTTTTATATAACACAGAACTGGAGGTCCTGGCCACAGCAATCAGACAACACAAAGAAATAAAAGGCATCCAGATTGGTAAGGAAGAAGTCAAACTGTCACTGTTTACAGATGACATGATATTGTATATAAAAAACCCTAAAGACTCCACTCCAAAACTATTACAACTAATATCTGAATTCAGCCAAGTTGCAGAATACAAAATTAATATGCAGAAATATGTTGCATTCCTATGCAATAATGATGTACTAGCAGAAAGAGAAATCAGGAAAACAATTCTATTCACAATTGCATCAAAAAGAACAAAATACCTAGTAATAAACCTAACCAAGGAAGTGAAAGACCTATACCCTGAAAACTATAAGACACTCTAATGAGAAATTAAAGAGGACACTAACAAATGGAAACTCATCCCATGCTCCTGGCTAGGAAGAATTAATATTGTCAAAATGGCCATCCTGCCTAAAGCAATCTACAGATTCAATGCAATGCCTATCAAAATACCAATAGCATTCTTCAATGAACTGGAACAAATAGTTCAAAAATTCATATGGAACCACAAAAGATCCCGAATAGCCAAAGCAGTCCTGAGAAGGAAGAATAAAGCAGGGGGGATCTCACTTTCCAATTTCAAGCTCTAGTACAAAGCCACAGTAGTCAAGACAATTTGGTACTGGCCCAAGAACAGAGCCACAGACCAGCGGAACAGAATAGAGAGTTCAGATATTAACCCAAGCAAATATGGTCAATTAATATATGATAAAGGAGCCATGGACATACAGTGGGGAAATGACAGCCTCTTCAACAGTTGGTGTTGGCAAAACTGGACAGCTACATGTAAGAGAATGAAATTGGATTACTCTCTAACTCCACACACAAAAGTAAACTTGAAATAGATCAAAGACCTGAATGTAAGTCATGAAACCACAAAACTCTTAGAAGAAAACATAGCCAAAACTCTCTTGAATATAAACATGAACAACTTCTTCGCGTACATATCTCCTCGGGCAAGGGAAACAGGGGTGAAAATGAACAAGTGGGACTATATCAAACTAAAAATCTTCTGTACAGCAAAGGACACCACCAGTAGAACAAAAGAGCATCCTCCAGGATGGGAGAATATATTCATACATGACATATCCAGTAAGGGGCTGACATCCAAAATATGCAAAGAGCTCATGCACCTCAACAAACAAAAAAGCAAATAACCCAATTAAAGTATGGGCAGAGGATCTGAACAGACACTTCTCCAAAGAAGAAATTCAGATGGCCAATAGGCATGTGAAAAGATGCTCCACATTGCTAATCATCAGAGAAGTGCAAATAAAAACCACAATGAGATATCACCTTTGTGGATAAAATGAGAGTTCTTGTGGCCAGGATTCTCACCTGGCCCTGGTTGACTAGCCCACTGCACACCTGTGGGCAATACATGGCTGTTGACTCTATATAAAGAGCTCCGCCCAGTGCTCTGGGCATGACATGGTGGCATGGTGGCACAGCTGCATGGCTGCAGGGGAGCAGAGCAGAGGCTGGAGTGGTGGCAGCGCCAAGGACAGAGGCCCAGAGGATGGCTGTGCAGGACGACTGTGCAGAGAGGCCCAGAGGACAGCTGTGTGGGACAGCTGCGCAGGCAGAGAGGTCCAGAGGATAGCTGTGCAGACAGAGGGGCCCAGAGGATGGCTGTGCAGACAGAGGGGCCCAGAGGCAGAGACCGGCTTGCTGCTTGCAGACTCACTCTGAGTGAATGGGACTCTACTGACTGATCTGCCACCTGGAAATAAAGTTGTGTTTAACCCTTTCACCCCAAGAACGTTTTACTGTCATTTTCTTCGGTCACATTGAATCCATAGCAAACTTGCCCGGGGTTGAAACCCATTGGCAAGACCACTTCACACGAGTTAGGATGGCCACCATCCAAAAGACAAACAACAACAAATGTTGGCGAGGATGTGGAGAAAGGGGAACCCTTCTACACTGCTGGTGGGAATGTAAATTAGTTCAACCATTGTGGAAAGCAGTATGGAGGTTCCTCAAAAAGCTTAAAATAGAAATACCATTTGACCCAGGAATTCCACTCCTAGGAATTTGCCCTAAGAATGCAGCAGCCCAGTTTGAATAAGACATATGCACCCCTATGTTTATTGCAGCACTATTTACAATAGCCAAGAAATGGAAGCAACCTAAATGTCCATCAGTAGATGAATGGGTAAAGAAGAGGTGGTACATATACACAATGGAATATTATTCAGCCATAAGAAGAGAACAAATCCTACCATTTGCAACAACATGGATGGAACTAGAGGTTATTATGCTCAGCAAAATAAGCCAGGTGGAAAAAGACAAGTATCAAATGATTTCACTCATCTGTGGAGTATAGGAACAAAGCAAAAACTGAAGGAGCCAAACAGCAGCAGACTCACAGAACCCAAGAATGGACTGACAGTTACTAAAGAGAAAGGGACAGGGTTGGATGGGTGGGAAGTGAGGGATAAGGCTGGGAGTGGGAGTAAGGGGCATTATGATTAGCATGTATAATAATGTTGGGGGCACGGGGAGGACTGTACAACACAGAGAAGACAAGTAGTGACTCTATAGCATCTTACTATGCTGATGGACAGAGACTGTAATGGGGTATGTGGGGGGGATTTGGTGATGGGAGGTGTCTAGTAAGCATAATGGTCCTCATGTAATTGTAGATGAATGATACCAAAAAAATAATAATAATAAAATAAAAATAAATTAAAAAGCAGCAGCAGACTCACAGAACCTAAGAATGGACTAACAGTTACCAAAGGGAAAGGGACTGGGGAGGATGGGTGGGAAGGGAGGGACAAGTGGCAAAAGGGGCATTATGATTAGCACAAATAATGTGGGGGGGGGCATGGGGAAGGCAGTATAGCACAGAGAAGACAAGTAGTGACTCTAGCATCTTAATACACTGATGGACAGTGACTGTAATGGCGTATGTGGTGGGGACTTGATAATGGGGGGAATCTAGTAACCACAATGTTGCTCATGTAATTGTATATTAATGATAACAACAAAAAAATATACACACACACACACAAAAAAAAAGTAAAACAGAAAAAACCCGTCAATCTGCCCTCACTTCTCTATATAATCATTCTTTAAATTCTTTATTCTTTAAATTTATATTCTTTAAATTTTTTCCTACATATATATAAATATACACGTATTTATGGTTTTGATTTTATTTAAAAATGGAATTATACTTAGTATAGTGTCTGCAATGTGCTTTTTTTCAACTCAGTGACATACACTGACATCTTCCTATTTGGTGATATATAGAGCTATCATATGTAGTACTAAAAAAAATGTCCTAAGAAAACATGTTCTTTGATATTATACGTTCCTTGGAGTTACAGAGGCCTATTCTACTCAGTTACCTAAAAACATAATGGCTATCAGATTAATGTTAAACAACAGCATAAATAATAAAACTCTCCTTGAGCAAGAAGATAGCAAGACAGTTGAAAGTGCTCTCTAACCAATAAAGGGAGTGAAATCATAAGTTTTATCATAACTAAGTTTCCTAACTTCTTTATTTTTTAAGGAGAAATCCCCAAAATCTAATTGGCATCATTAAATAAATGAAAGTATAAGTATTCTACTAATATTGGTAAAAAAAAAATAAAACCATGGATGGAGTGGGAATTATGTTAATTGAAGTATTTGTTTCCAAGAGTGAAATACTCACAGCTGTTTCTCCTTTTGGGAGATTTGTTTCTGCAGACTGTCGGATTTACTCTGACATTCTTGTAGGTATTTCTTGTCCTCATCTTCAGATTCCATCAGCTCCTTCTCTGCTTGCTGCAATCTGGTGTAATTCAAATCAACTTTGGGTAAAACTGAGGCTAGAACTAGGGTGTAAAAGGGTGAAGAAGACAAATAAAAGAAAAATGGGGAAATAGAAACATTTCTAAATGAAAACAAAGTTTGGGGGAAAACTCACAAACTCAAACATGAAAGAGCCACACAATGTCTAGAATTTTGTTGTGTGTTTTCATTTTCAGTATAACATACATATGCCCAGAATACTATCTTCAAATTGTTTTATTTCTTGTTCATAATTAACAATGTAGAGCAATACAGCCTTTACCACTTATGTAGAGCATGATGAGTCAATTTTCAAAGTATAATTGGTGCATTACTGCCTTTTTACAAAACCATGAAAAGCATAGTATTTATGTCTACACTAGGTGAAGAAGCCACATTGTTATATATTATGCTAGGATGTGTATGCCAGGAATCAAGTGTGCTACACGGCCAAGAGCAAAGACTTGCAATCATTTCAAGTAACAGCCAAGTCCTCCCTATAGGACATTCACTAAATTTATGCCAAAGCTGTGTGTGTGTGTGTGTGTGTGTGTGTGTAGGACACTCACTAAATTTATGCCAAAGCTTGTGTGTGTGTGTGTGTGTGTGTGTATGTGTGTGTGTGTGTGTGTAGGACACTCACTAAATTTATGCCAAAGCTGTGTGCGTGTGTGTGTGTGTAGGACATTCACTAAATTTATGCCAAAGCTGTGTGCGTGTGTGTGTGTGTAGGACATTCACTAAATTTATGCCAAAGCTGTGTGTGTGTGTGTGTGTGTGTGTAGGACATTCACTAAATTTATGCCAAAGCTGTGTGTGTGTGTGTGTGTGTGTAGGACATTCACTAAATTTATGCCAAAGCTGTGTGTGTGTGTGTGTGTGTGTAGGGCATTCACTAAATTTATGCCAAAGCTGTGTGTGTGTATTTTAAGAGTCAAAAGAATTTAGTACTAGTTGGCAACCTTCTTTAGAGACTGTTTTTGTTCTTTCTCATTGAGTTTTAAAAATTAGCTAAAAATGTGATTTTCATTTTTTCTTTTTATTTGTAAGTCATTGCTTCTCCCTGTGCTTAGCTCCACTCTCTGCCTCCTATGGCCTTCTAGGATATCTTCGATTTAACTTCAATATTTTTATATGAAACATGTCCCAAAAATTCAAAGTACATTCACTCTTTGTAGGGAATCTTAAGATAATTTCTATTCAACTAGCCAAAAAATTGCCTCTTCTTTTCTTCCTTAAAACCATACCAATGGGGCAACCCTCACACATTTCAGAAGTATAAACATCACTTCCAAGGAAAAGAGAGTAACATTCAAGTTACCTCTAAATCTAAATTTAAGTAAAAAATATTAATGTTGGGGTGGTGGGGGTGCCAACCTTCTCTCTAAGGTCACAGAAACTAAAATACAAGAGTGAGGTAGGCCTTGAAGTTGTGCTATCATAGAAGAGGGCTAAACAGAACTGGAAAACTGAAGTGCTAAAGTACAAGACAATGGCCAATCTGAGTTATACACTATTTTAAAACATATCTAAAAATCAAAAAAAGAGCCGTTAGGCAAAGAATGGGCTAATTGGTGGTGGAAGGGGGAAGCTGTGCCAATACACTGTGAAACCAAAAGTTAACCTATTTTTAAACAATCTTTATGTTTTCCATCAAAAAGTAGCTAAAAAGATAAAACTTCATTTAAAAGTCCTGACCTCCAAAGGGTCAATACTCAAATCAGCTCTTGTGCACAAGGTTTGAGGAATGTTTTTTGGAAATCCAAGTGCACCCACTCTGCTCTATGGCAGTGTATTACCACAGCAGCTGATCAAGATGTGTACAGGGTTCCTAATACCCTTTTAGAATACTTAGTAGCATAAATTCTTTTCTATGTAATATATTATAAAATTGCTGATTTTCTTTTTATCTGTTTAAACACAAGTGGTTTTCAGAAAGATATATCTTTGACCAGCTTGTACTGGTCCTGAGTGTCACTGCTGGCACATTTCACCAATGACATTGCAATTGTCCTAGTTTGAGTTAACAAATCATTGTCACTTCATAATGGAATGGACAGAAATCAAAGACAGAAAAAGGTAATAAAAATGTCCAAAATGTAAAAATGGGGATAAAGAAAAAGAAAAAGAAAAAGAAGAAAGAGGATGTCAATAAAAGAATATTCATGTCAATAAAGCATTAATAGTTATGTTTTTCATAAGCAGATTCAAAGAAAGCAATGATAAGACATATGTTGACAACAACATGACAGGTCAATGGAAATACATTACATTTTCCAACAATAAAAGTGAAAAATGGCAATATAAAACTACTCAATTTAAACAAAATTATTTCTTGGATTTTGTTGAGGGTCCTAGCTCAAAGAAACACAGCTGAACTGCCAACTCAGAAAGCTTGATTTCAAATAGAGATGGTGAATGACAAAGGATATGACCATCAATACGCATGGAAATCAATCAGAGATAATTCCACCATGGATTTGTTAATTCTTTACTTTTTCGAGGTTTTTGTTTGTGTCCTTGTTTTATGTAATAGATTGAACCATATGAAATTGCCAATATTAGGCCTGTAAAAAAAATCTACAGAATGCAAGTTCAAATCAATCAGCCTAATATGAAGCAACTTGATTCCATGCACCAACCAAATAAAAAAAGCAAAATTCTGCTGGGCTAAAAACAAAACAAAACAAAAAGTCCTAATAAATTTTCCTAATGTTTTTTTGTGGCAGGTGTCAGAGTTGAATAAAGAAAATGGGGGGGAAGGAAAAAAGAAAATAAGACTGGAAATGCCGTACCTTTGTTCCAGCTGCCTCATGGCTACAGTAATTTTATTGGTTTTTTCTTCTAGTCGGGAAATTATTTCATTTTTTTCTTTCAAACCATCTTCGGAACCCTACTTAGAAAAACACAAAAGCTAAAGAGGTTTTGATATTTAAATATGAATATAAGTTTTGTATACCATTTTGCTAGAGGATTGTTACTCTAAAATGAGCAGAGTCGATTTACAGATTAAAATACTCCTATATTATAAAGCAGTAGTACTACTAATCTTCATTTAAAATGTAAAAAAAGATAATATATTGACAGTTTACAAAACTCAAATATGTATTGATGATTAGATAATACTATTGTATCAATGTCAACTTCCTGCTTTTGATAACTGCACTATTATGATTATATGAAAGAATGTCCTTACCCTTAGAAAATATATACTGAAGCATTTAGGTATAAAAATAAAATAAAATAAATAAAGTGTAATAAAAAAAGTCTTCAATGTTGGAAGACAATAAAATAAACTCTTGTAAAATGAGCTATTTTTCAAATTAAATTGTAAAGGGCTTTTGGCAATAAGTCTATGTAACAGCAATGTCATTTTATCAGAAATTAATAATTATTATAGTAAAGTACTTCAATCAAAATTAAATCTTCCTCAGGACTATACTGTATAAAGAGGTTCACAAAAATATCTCACCTATTCAGACTGAGTTTTCCCAAGAGATTTAATTTTCATATTGTAAACCCTTCAGCATTAAGAAACACATTTAGATAGGTGACTTTTTTGTTTGTTCTTTGCTTCTTTTTTCATTGCTACATTTCTTAAGCTTCCATTTAGAAAAAGTCACTGGTTTTTATTACCAATATGGCACAGTTAAAAAGGACTTTTCTCTTAAAAACCAAACCCTTTATACAAATACTCATTTTCAACTTACATAACAAGAAATTCCAAGAATTTAAGAACATTCCTTACCTGCAACTTTTGATACATCTCTATGTTAATTGCTTTAACCTCCTCTAGTTGTTGTCGAAGGCCAATAAGTGTATCTTGCTTCTCATGAATATCTTTTTCCAACAGCTTCATGGCAAGTTCAATCTCATGTTTCATGCTAACCTGTACTGCTAGCTCACTCTCCACATCCTGCAATTTCAACAAATCCTCAGTTTACGTCCTACTTCAGGATGTCAAAATCAGAAACACAGAGTTAATCAGATCAAGAAAGTTTTGTTTCAATATGCAAACTACTCCTTTTGAGTTGTAATCCCCACTAAAGGGAATCAACCAGGCCCAATGACAATATAACATTCTAAATATTTTCATATGCAAATTTTGCTAAAATGAAAGCATATTCTAGATTCTGTTCATTTTCACTATTCTACTGGTTCAAGAATTAAATATTTTTATGCCTCATAAACTCGGTATTAATTTTCCTTAAACAAAGAAGTTGAAGTAGTCTGTACAAGTAAAAGTCAAAGATATCTCAAAAATCCCATTTCACAAACAGTTTTAATGTCTTCTCTTTAAGAATTTTACATCAGAAGGAAAAGAAATTTCTTAACATTACAGACCAACAGCAAAGGGATGAAAAGGCCGGCAATACTTTCTTTTTGACCTGGGTAGTAGTTACACATGTTATAATCCATTAATATTCATATTTTTCTATAGGTATTATATAATTTCAAAGGTTAAAAGACAAGTTAATTTTAAATACGATTTTACTAATATTTAAATTTCCATCCATTTCACAAACATAAGATTGTAACACTGTTCATAAATACTGTTTAAAAAACACTGATACAGTAGGAGCTTAAATAATTTGAGGGGATTCAGGGAGTGAAACTGCTATCTCACAGCAAGGAAAAAAAGGCTGAAAGAGATTTTAAGTGGTGCTTAAGGGTAAATCTTTTTTTTTGGCTAATATAACTATAATATAACCTACTTGTCGTAACTGAGATTCATCTCGAAGCTGCCTTCTGGCGTCATTGTACATTTCATCTAGCCCCTGCCGAGAATGCTTGTATGTTTGAAGTTCAGTTTCTGCATCCACTTTGGTAACCTAAGAAAAAGAAGAAACATATGACTTTTTATTCTATAATCACTACTATTAATACAGCACAGAAATACCCAGACTATGCAAGTCCCCAGAAATGGCAACTTCTGACACAAGACAGTCTGTAATCAGTCTACACTTACCTCTAAGTGTTGCTGTGTTTTCATTAAAATCAATTTATTTTCACTTCGTAATTGATGATTTTCTTCTTGGAGTTTAATGATATTATTCTTTGCTATTGCTAACTAAAAATTACAAAACAAGAGCAAGAAAAAATATTTTAAATATCTTTATTTATACTTGCTTTACAGGTTATGTGCATGGCTATAAGCAATAGAATATAAAATCCTAAAACTAGTAAAATGTCTCTCACCTGTACAGAAACTTTCATAAGAAAAATGTGCTCCTACTGTCCCAAGATACCACTTAAAGAAATCATAGCCTTATTTCTAATATTTCCTTTTGTTAGTTGAAACATATGCTAGTAGGAGCATATTATGCTTATTTGATTTACAGTATGTCTGGAATACAAAGTGCCTGAGTAAGCATGTCCAGAATTATGCCGTTGAACAGCAAGACTGTAGAGACTTGTACAAAGCTAAAGCATCTGAAAAAAAAGAAGGCTATGCTATCAGTGAAAATTTAACACAGACATCCATGATAGCCAAACAGGACACCCTATGAAGTCTGCGCACCCAGATTTGTAAGTGACCATCACAAATGTAAGACAGCTCTCATCAAAGTTAAACATGAATGACTAAGAGGCTTGGTTCTCAGGCCCAGAATGAAAAGATGGATCCTAGGAAATGAAAGCAGGGAGTACTCCTAATGTTGGCTTGTAAATTTTTTTGGAACACTTTGTCAGGGACACAACTTGAACTTCACAGTGAGCCAGAGGCCAAGAAGAGGCACAAACTAGTCAGCAGCTTTCTCTAATGGTCCCAATCTATCAAACTATCAAAATGAAGAAGCATTCTTAACTGCAGTCACGCAAACAATCATGGACTCCCTGGTTTGGTAAAATTAGGCCAGTTCTAAAAGAAGTAACGATTTTAATGAACATGGAAAATGGGGTTCATAGTACTAACAAATTTCTTCCTCTCACCTAAATAATTCTAAATATAGAAAGCAATAATTCTGCATTTGATATTTTTAACTTATCTAAAAAACAACTTTACAAATAATATTAATAAGAGAACTGAGATACATTCCTGGTTCTGGGGCCACCAAGAGAGCCACTTTGACAATGCAGGAAACCAGAGCACACAGATGTTTTACACACGGAAGGGTGGAGAAAAAGGTAGATGTGATTGTGCAGTGATGCTTGTAAAGAAAAGTAATTTGAATAGTGGTACAAAAGGAATAGTATTATTTTAACAGGAATTTCTAACTACAGGCCATTCCACTACATAAACACAGGTCATTCAGATTTAAAAGTGAGAGATACAGCTTATTTATAGAATAGTTTGGATGAGTTTCATCTTTGGGGCTCATTTCTAGAACTGAGTATCTTAATTCAATTTTGCCTGAGAACATGTGGTTTCTCTAGAACTTAAAATCATCAATTATAACTACATTACAGGTATTCCATCACAATGACAAAAATGTGTGCTTTCATGTGTACACACACTTAATGCATTCAGACTTGAAATGAAAAAGGTTTGCAAATACTAGGTCAAAGAAAGACAATTATCCACGAGTGGGTGACAATACCTCTTCAATCAGCTTAGTGTTTGACTTTTCTAATGAGTCAACTCTTGAATGAAGACTGCTGACTGTGCTGCTGAAATTAATAAAGAAAAATCTCATTCAAAATCACACAAACTCATAATAGCAAGAAAAGTATGGTATACTGGACTTATGTTGACTAACATGCACCAACTGCTCTGTCTGAATTTCTGAGAGTGGGAAATTAAGCTGCATAACTTGATAAAAAGTTGATATTCCATTAAAAATTCCACTTGATACTACTCATTATTTTTTACTGTCTTCTTAGGGTTCTTCTTACATTTAACATATATTGAGCAAAGGAAATGCCACAAAAAGATTAGTAAATATTGCTCAATCCAAATTTAAAATTTAATATTTCCTAAAAAATGTACTTTAAATGTCTATTTTATAATTAAGTGCTTTAATGAAGCTCATAAACAGTGGTCTTTTACATAAACCCCATTCTTTTTCCCCTCTCCACTTTCATAGTAACTTGAAGATNTCCAAAGGGTCAATACTCAAATCAGCTCTTGTGCACAAGGTTTGAGGAATGTTTTTTGGAAATCCAAGTGCACCCACTCTGCTCTATGGCAGTGTATTACCACAGCAGCTGATCAAGATGTGTACAGGGTTCCTAATACCCTTTTAGAATACTTAGTAGCATAAATTCTTTTCTATGTAATATATTATAAAATTGCTGATTTTCTTTTTATCTGTTTAAACACAAGTGGTTTTCAGAAAGATATATCTTTGACCAGCTTGTACTGGTCCTGAGTGTCACTGCTGGCACATTTCACCAATGACATTGCAATTGTCCTAGTTTGAGTTAACAAATCATTGTCACTTCATAATGGAATGGACAGAAATCAAAGACAGAAAAAGGTAATAAAAATGTCCAAAATGTAAAAATGGGGATAAAGAAAAAGAAAAAGAAAAAGAAGAAAGAGGATGTCAATAAAAGAATATTCATGTCAATAAAGCATTAATAGTTATGTTTTTCATAAGCAGATTCAAAGAAAGCAATGATAAGACATATGTTGACAACAACATGACAGGTCAATGGAAATACATTACATTTTCCAACAATAAAAGTGAAAAATGGCAATATAAAACTACTCAATTTAAACAAAATTATTTCTTGGATTTTGTTGAGGGTCCTAGCTCAAAGAAACACAGCTGAACTGCCAACTCAGAAAGCTTGATTTCAAATAGAGATGGTGAATGACAAAGGATATGACCATCAATACGCATGGAAATCAATCAGAGATAATTCCACCATGGATTTGTTAATTCTTTACTTTTTCGAGGTTTTTGTTTGTGTCCTTGTTTTATGTAATAGATTGAACCATATGAAATTGCCAATATTAGGCCTGTAAAAAAAATCTACAGAATGCAAGTTCAAATCAATCAGCCTAATATGAAGCAACTTGATTCCATGCACCAACCAAATAAAAAAAGCAAAATTCTGCTGGGCTAAAAACAAAACAAAACAAAAAGTCCTAATAAATTTTCCTAATGTTTTTTTGTGGCAGGTGTCAGAGTTGAATAAAGAAAATGGGGGGGAAGGAAAAAAGAAAATAAGACTGGAAATGCCGTACCTTTGTTCCAGCTGCCTCATGGCTACAGTAATTTTATTGGTTTTTTCTTCTAGTCGGGAAATTATTTCATTTTTTTCTTTCAAACCATCTTCGGAACCCTACTTAGAAAAACACAAAAGCTAAAGAGGTTTTGATATTTAAATATGAATATAAGTTTTGTATACCATTTTGCTAGAGGATTGTTACTCTAAAATGAGCAGAGTCGATTTACAGATTAAAATACTCCTATATTATAAAGCAGTAGTACTACTAATCTTCATTTAAAATGTAAAAAAAGATAATATATTGACAGTTTACAAAACTCAAATATGTATTGATGATTAGATAATACTATTGTATCAATGTCAACTTCCTGCTTTTGATAACTGCACTATTATGATTATATGAAAGAATGTCCTTACCCTTAGAAAATATATACTGAAGCATTTAGGTATAAAAATAAAATAAAATAAATAAAGTGTAATAAAAAAAGTCTTCAATGTTGGAAGACAATAAAATAAACTCTTGTAAAATGAGCTATTTTTCAAATTAAATTGTAAAGGGCTTTTGGCAATAAGTCTATGTAACAGCAATGTCATTTTATCAGAAATTAATAATTATTATAGTAAAGTACTTCAATCAAAATTAAATCTTCCTCAGGACTATACTGTATAAAGAGGTTCACAAAAATATCTCACCTATTCAGACTGAGTTTTCCCAAGAGATTTAATTTTCATATTGTAAACCCTTCAGCATTAAGAAACACATTTAGATAGGTGACTTTTTTGTTTGTTCTTTGCTTCTTTTTTCATTGCTACATTTCTTAAGCTTCCATTTAGAAAAAGTCACTGGTTTTTATTACCAATATGGCACAGTTAAAAAGGACTTTTCTCTTAAAAACCAAACCCTTTATACAAATACTCATTTTCAACTTACATAACAAGAAATTCCAAGAATTTAAGAACATTCCTTACCTGCAACTTTTGATACATCTCTATGTTAATTGCTTTAACCTCCTCTAGTTGTTGTCGAAGGCCAATAAGTGTATCTTGCTTCTCATGAATATCTTTTTCCAACAGCTTCATGGCAAGTTCAATCTCATGTTTCATGCTAACCTGTACTGCTAGCTCACTCTCCACATCCTGCAATTTCAACAAATCCTCAGTTTACGTCCTACTTCAGGATGTCAAAATCAGAAACACAGAGTTAATCAGATCAAGAAAGTTTTGTTTCAATATGCAAACTACTCCTTTTGAGTTGTAATCCCCACTAAAGGGAATCAACCAGGCCCAATGACAATATAACATTCTAAATATTTTCATATGCAAATTTTGCTAAAATGAAAGCATATTCTAGATTCTGTTCATTTTCACTATTCTACTGGTTCAAGAATTAAATATTTTTATGCCTCATAAACTCGGTATTAATTTTCCTTAAACAAAGAAGTTGAAGTAGTCTGTACAAGTAAAAGTCAAAGATATCTCAAAAATCCCATTTCACAAACAGTTTTAATGTCTTCTCTTTAAGAATTTTACATCAGAAGGAAAAGAAATTTCTTAACATTACAGACCAACAGCAAAGGGATGAAAAGGCCGGCAATACTTTCTTTTTGACCTGGGTAGTAGTTACACATGTTATAATCCATTAATATTCATATTTTTCTATAGGTATTATATAATTTCAAAGGTTAAAAGACAAGTTAATTTTAAATACGATTTTACTAATATTTAAATTTCCATCCATTTCACAAACATAAGATTGTAACACTGTTCATAAATACTGTTTAAAAAACACTGATACAGTAGGAGCTTAAATAATTTGAGGGGATTCAGGGAGTGAAACTGCTATCTCACAGCAAGGAAAAAAAGGCTGAAAGAGATTTTAAGTGGTGCTTAAGGGTAAATCTTTTTTTTTGGCTAATATAACTATAATATAACCTACTTGTCGTAACTGAGATTCATCTCGAAGCTGCCTTCTGGCGTCATTGTACATTTCATCTAGCCCCTGCCGAGAATGCTTGTATGTTTGAAGTTCAGTTTCTGCATCCACTTTGGTAACCTAAGAAAAAGAAGAAACATATGACTTTTTATTCTATAATCACTACTATTAATACAGCACAGAAATACCCAGACTATGCAAGTCCCCAGAAATGGCAACTTCTGACACAAGACAGTCTGTAATCAGTCTACACTTACCTCTAAGTGTTGCTGTGTTTTCATTAAAATCAATTTATTTTCACTTCGTAATTGATGATTTTCTTCTTGGAGTTTAATGATATTATTCTTTGCTATTGCTAACTAAAAATTACAAAACAAGAGCAAGAAAAAATATTTTAAATATCTTTATTTATACTTGCTTTACAGGTTATGTGCATGGCTATAAGCAATAGAATATAAAATCCTAAAACTAGTAAAATGTCTCTCACCTGTACAGAAACTTTCATAAGAAAAATGTGCTCCTACTGTCCCAAGATACCACTTAAAGAAATCATAGCCTTATTTCTAATATTTCCTTTTGTTAGTTGAAACATATGCTAGTAGGAGCATATTATGCTTATTTGATTTACAGTATGTCTGGAATACAAAGTGCCTGAGTAAGCATGTCCAGAATTATGCCGTTGAACAGCAAGACTGTAGAGACTTGTACAAAGCTAAAGCATCTGAAAAAAAAGAAGGCTATGCTATCAGTGAAAATTTAACACAGACATCCATGATAGCCAAACAGGACACCCTATGAAGTCTGCGCACCCAGATTTGTAAGTGACCATCACAAATGTAAGACAGCTCTCATCAAAGTTAAACATGAATGACTAAGAGGCTTGGTTCTCAGGCCCAGAATGAAAAGATGGATCCTAGGAAATGAAAGCAGGGAGTACTCCTAATGTTGGCTTGTAAATTTTTTTGGAACACTTTGTCAGGGACACAACTTGAACTTCACAGTGAGCCAGAGGCCAAGAAGAGGCACAAACTAGTCAGCAGCTTTCTCTAATGGTCCCAATCTATCAAACTATCAAAATGAAGAAGCATTCTTAACTGCAGTCACGCAAACAATCATGGACTCCCTGGTTTGGTAAAATTAGGCCAGTTCTAAAAGAAGTAACGATTTTAATGAACATGGAAAATGGGGTTCATAGTACTAACAAATTTCTTCCTCTCACCTAAATAATTCTAAATATAGAAAGCAATAATTCTGCATTTGATATTTTTAACTTATCTAAAAAACAACTTTACAAATAATATTAATAAGAGAACTGAGATACATTCCTGGTTCTGGGGCCACCAAGAGAGCCACTTTGACAATGCAGGAAACCAGAGCACACAGATGTTTTACACACGGAAGGGTGGAGAAAAAGGTAGATGTGATTGTGCAGTGATGCTTGTAAAGAAAAGTAATTTGAATAGTGGTACAAAAGGAATAGTATTATTTTAACAGGAATTTCTAACTACAGGCCATTCCACTACATAAACACAGGTCATTCAGATTTAAAAGTGAGAGATACAGCTTATTTATAGAATAGTTTGGATGAGTTTCATCTTTGGGGCTCATTTCTAGAACTGAGTATCTTAATTCAATTTTGCCTGAGAACATGTGGTTTCTCTAGAACTTAAAATCATCAATTATAACTACATTACAGGTATTCCATCACAATGACAAAAATGTGTGCTTTCATGTGTACACACAC